TGGGCAGTGAACTAGGGCACCTGGGGGAGCCGATGAATAAACTGAGTATCCCTGAAAGAGGAAGTCACTTCCCAGGGTCACACCAGGGGAGTGAGCTGTGTTCTCAGTTGGCCTCCCTGAGTCTCCTCCCAGCTGTGACTCTGGGCGAGCAGCTGGAGAACAGAAGAAGGGGAGGGGGGGAGGAACACCCCGGACAGGGCAGGGCTGTCAGGTAAAGCCCTGCAGGCTGCGGGCAGCACAACTGCAGGGGGCCATTCGAGGAGGCCCCCGCGAGCGCTGCTCCCCGGGTGAGGAAGAGCACAGCTGGGAGAGCGCAGCGGGGAAGGGAATCGCCACCCCCGCTCGCCTACTCTCCGCAGCCTGCTTTCTCCACTTAGTGCACAGCGGCCACTTCCCCGTTTCAGCACGTGAAAATCTACCCCCCCCCCCATTCTCCCAGGGGTGCTCCCCAGACCACCACCGTCACCACCACCTGGGAATTTGTTATAAACACAGAGTCCGGGGCCCCACACCCCAGACCTCCTGAGTCAGACACTTNCACCCTAACATCGTCTCCCCCAGGTCCCCAACTCTGAGTATGGACAGGCCAGGCTGAAGCATCTAAGTCCAACGACCTCGGGACAGAATGGGCCACATCCCACCCACCCCCATCCAGAGTCATTCCTGGTTTGCACCCCTTCAGCCTCCGGTGACATGACTGGACCCAGGAGGGGCCCCTATTTGGTTGGCTTTCTAGAGAGTTCCTCCTGAATGAGAGTAACACTGGCAAGCATGTATTGGGTGCCAACTAGGTGCCAGGCAGTGAGCGTTTTCCATGCAACCAACCATCTGTCTCCTCCAAACCATCCCTTTCACTTACCCATTTGTTCATTTGACAAGTATTTACTAAGCACCTATTGTGAGCCAGCTCCGTTCTACCAGCAGGACTGTAGCAATGCCCAAGACAGACAAGAAAAGACAGTAAACAAGGTAAATAAGTCAAACGGACCTCAGGCTGGATGGCACGAGGAAGGAGGGGTGGAGAAGCTGTGGGCAGTGAACTAGGGCACCTGGGGGAGCCGATGAATAAACTGAGTATCCCTGAAAGAGGAAGTCACTTCCCAGGGTCACACCAGGGGAGTGAGCTGTGTTCTCAGTTGGCCTCCCTGAGTCTCCTCCCAGCTGTGACTCTGGGCGAGCAGCTGGAGAACAGAAGAAGGGGAGGGGGGGAGGAACACCCCGGACAGGGCAGGGCTGTCAGGTAAAGCCCTGCAGGCTGCGGGCAGCACAACTGCAGGGGGCCATTCGAGGAGGCCCCCGCGAGCGCTGCTCCCCGGGTGAGGAAGAGCACAGCTGGGAGAGCGCAGCGGGGAAGGGAATCGCCACCCCCGCTCGCCTACTCTCCGCAGCCTGCTTTCTCCACTTAGTGCACAGCGGCCACTTCCCCGTTTCAGCACGTGAAAATCTACCCCCCCCCCCATTCTCCCAGGGGTGCTCCCCAGACCACCACCGTCACCACCACCTGGGAATTTGTTATAAACACAGAGTCCGGGGCCCCACACCCCAGACCTCCTGAGTCAGACACTTGCAGGCTGCGTCCCGCTTTTACTCCACACGAGGGGGGGAGGGGGGGGCAAAGGAGGGTTTGAGCAGAGTAATGACGTGATCTGATCTCCCTTTTGACATGTGAGCCCTGAGGGTGAGAGATCAGGGAAGGCGAGGACAGGGAGATGGCTCTGGGAGAGCCATCTAGGGAGAGATGATGGTGCCTTGACAGATTTCAACGGTGAAGCCAGAGGAATGTGCCAATGATTTGGCCGCCTGAAGGGAGGGAAGGACAAGATTCAAGTATGATCTCAAGGTTTGGGGCCTGAGCCCCTGGAAAAATGGAGCAGCCATTGCCCAAGACTGGGAGACAAGGAGAGGAGCAGGTTTAGGGGAGAGTGCAGAGAAATCAGGAGTGTGGTTTGAGTGTAGGTTATGGGCTGACTGTGTGCGTCCCTCCCCCCACAAAGAATTCATATGTTGAATTCCTAACCCCCAATGTGATGGTATTAGGATGTGAGGCCTTTGGGAGGTAACTGGGTCATAAGAGTGGAGCCCTCATGAACCGGATTAGTGCTCTTATAAAAGGGACCCCAGAGAGCTCACTCATCCCTTCTGCCACATGAGGGCACAGCAAGAAGCTGGCCATCTGCAAGCTGCAAGAGGGGTCTTCCTAGAATCCGACCGTGCCAGCACCCTGATCTTGGACTTCCAGCCCCCAAATCTATGAGAAATAAAATTCTGTCATTTAAAAGCCACCCAGTCTGTGGTACTTTGTCATAGCAGCTCAAAGAGACTGAGACAGCCTGTGAAGTGTGAGATGCCCACCTGGAGGTGCCCAGTCAATGGTTGCATACACCTGCCATTCAGGGGACAGGACACGTCTGGAGACAAATTTGGGAATTATCCACCTAAAGGGAGCATATTTGTGTCCTAGGGCTGCCAAAACAAATGACCACAAACTGGGTGGCTTAACACAACAGGAAGTTATTTTCTCACCTTTCTGAAGGCCGAAATCAAGGTGTGGGCAGAGGCAGGCTCCCTTCGAAGCACTCTGCCGTGCCTCCTCCTGCCTCTGAGTTTCTTGCCTCTAGTAGCTCCTTGGCTTGTGGCTGCATCTCTCCAGTCTCTGCCTCCATCTTCACAGGGCCTGCTCCTCTTTCTCCTCTTCTGTTGGTGCCAAATCTCCTTATGTCTTTCTCTTATAAGGACACTTGTCATTAGATTGGTGGCCCACCTGGTTAATCCAAGATGACCTCATCTCAAGATCCTTAATTTAATTACGTTTGCAAAGGCCCTTTTTCCAAATAAGGTCACATTCACAGGTTCTGAGGATAAAGGCATGGATATATCTTGGCAGGGGCACTATTTGGCTTCCCACCAGTTGTATTTAAAGCCCCCCATGGGACTGTGACGGGAAGAGACGCCCTCTACCCCTCTTGTCCTATTGTTCATCTGTGTCCTTCAGTTCTGGAACAGCCATTCATTAAAAAAGTATGTAGTACTAATAATAATAAATAATGCTTATCTAACTCTATGTGCCAAACCCTTCTATAAGTACTTCATATAGCTAACACATTTAATCCTTACAACACTAAAATCAATATTTTCATTTTACAGAGAGCTCAAGGCCCAGGCCACACTACTAGGGTTCTAATCCAGGACATCTATTCTCTGAAATGGCAGGAATCCCCACCTGGCCCATGTAGAGGGCCTTAGAGGACCTCACCTATTACAAACACAAAATAAGTTTACTGAAGAACTCAGGACCTCGCTGTCATGAGAGACAGAGCTGGAATAGAACAACCATAATTCTAAACATTGCAACATCGTTCTTGGTATTAATGACATTCAGGCCCCAAGGGAGTGCTCCCCAGCTTCACTAGCTGACGTCCTCATGTGTCTGAATTCCGAGATTCTGGTTGTGCCAATGATGGAAACTGATGCTGCTTTGGAGTGTGGGGAAGACTCCAGCACCAGAAAAGCTTAGGTAGGAGAAAAGACAGATTCTCTTGTGTATTCGTTTCCTAGGCTGCCATAACAAAGTCCCACAAACTAGGTGGTTTAAAACAGTAAATGTTTAGTCTCACAGTTCTAGAAGCTGAAATGCAAAATAAGGTGTGGGCAGGGCCATGCTATGCTGGCTCCGAAGGCTCTGGAAGAGGAGCCTTCCTGACTAGGATCCTTTGCATCCCTTGGCTTGTAGAAACATCACTCCCATTTTTGCCTTCATCTGTCATGATGTTCTCCCTGTGTGTATGTCTGGACTCCAGTCACTGGATTAGGACCCACAGGACTCCAGTATGATCTCCACTTAACTTAATTACATCTGCAAAGACTCTATTTTCAAATAAGGCCACATTCACAGGTTCCAGGGGTTAGGAGTTCAACGTATATTTTGGGGGGAGGGAACACAATTCAACCCAAAACACCTTGTCTAATGAAATCTATTCTTGCATAACTAAGTATCATTTCCCAACACTGCCAAGCTCCCAATGAATGGCTGCTCTGTGTTCCAATGAAGGATTCCAGAGAGAATAACATATTAGGACATTTGTTACAGTTGCACATTGAGGCCAAGAAGTATTTGGCAGTATTAAATAAAATTTTATTTTATTTTTTAATAAAAATTAAAATTTGCATACCTGTAAACCCTAATGTAAATAGGTGTGAAGTGTAATACCAATTCTTTTTTTTTTAAAACATATCTTTATTGATTTCAGAGAGAGGAAAGGAGGGGGAGAGAGAGAGAGAAGCATCAATGATGAGACAGTCATTTATAGGCTGCCTAGCCGGCAACCCAGGCGTGTGCCCTGACCGGGAATCGAACCCAGATCTCCTGGATCCATGCTCATCTGCTGAGCCACGCCCGGCCGGGCTAATACCAATTCTTTACAGTGGCCACTAGAGGAATACTAGAATTGCAACTTGTTTTATTTTCATGAAAGTATTCAATAGGATTTATTTAAAATTTCAGCTCTAAAAAGTTATATTTATAAATAACTTTATTTACTTATTTAAATTAAATTCACTAAAATACATATTTGGAATAATTTTATTTAAACTTTTGATATTCACTAAATATATCATTGATACCGTGCAAGGTTTTGAAAAACAAATTCGAATATTTTTGAAGAAAAACCATGTTTTTAAAAATTTGATTATGAGATGAAAAAATTTTTCATTTGTGCTCTAGCCTTGGGAGATCAGGGGCTCCCAGTGAGGGTAGGGGGAGGCCCCGAACCTACGTCGATCCCCCTCCACTTCCCCACCCAAGTGGATTTCGGTCCAGAGGCAGAGACCCCACCCACCCATCGTCGGTCACGGGATCCCGCGGAGGAGAGCACCGCATCTGTAATGTCAGCACACGGCCGCCAGGTGACGCTAGAAATACCAGAAGTCCTCCGGGGTCATTCATCTCTATGATCCCTGTGGCGGCCAGCGCAACCCGGAATCTGTGGCGAGCTAAGGGGGAGTGCTTCCGGTTAGGAACGCGGTGACCTGGGTGCCGCTGGAGTCTGTGGCGACAGCTGCCATGGGGGCGCACCTGGCCACGCGCTACCTGGGCGATACCTCAGGGGAGCCAGACCCCCTGCGGATGCCCACCTTCCCGCCCGACTACGGCTTCCCCGGGCGCAAGGAGCGCGGTGAGATACAATGCGCAGGCGCGGCGGCGAGGGTGGGACGCGGACGCCGTAACCCCGGGGTCCGCAGGGCTGGGCTCGGCGCTGACCTCGGCCGGGAGGAGTCCAGAGGGCAAGCCTGGTGCTGTCCGAGTGTGGAGGCACTCCGGGCAGAGGGCACGGTCTGGGCAAAAACCCGGGGGCAAGAGTGGGGCTAACGAGGCCTCGGAGCTGGGCTTTGTACTGGAGTAGTGGGGAGCCTTGGGAGGGTTTATTACGAAGGGACGTGTTCATTGTGTCCAGATGTTACTACTATTTTTAGGTATGCGCAAGAAAACACAAGGGGGCTCACACCGTATATACTGTCCCTGCACGTTGCTTTAAAATATATATATATATGATTTAAGAGAGAGGGAGAGAAACCTGATCGGCTGCCTCCTGCACGCCCCCCCCCCCCCCCCCCCCCCCCCCCCCCCCCCCCCCCCCCCCCCCCCCCCCCCCCCCCCCCCCCCCCCC